ACACCCAAGACAGGAGAAATTATGCCAAAAATTCAGCTTTGACAATCATAGGAATAAATTACATTAAAAAAAACAATTCAATAAGACTATTTAAATTGTAATATTTCACAATATTACTTTTTTTTTTTTTTTTTTTACTGTATTTTTTATCAAATAAATACAGCCCTGGTGAGCATAAGAAACAACTTTCAAAAACTAACTTTTGAATGATAGAATATATACATATAGAAAGACAAAGTATGAACAATTTAAACTCCACCTAGGCTTAACTATGATGATTTATCTGTTCTATCTTTTGTCCAGGTGCGGCCCTGCATGTTCATGACTTTGCTATGGTAGGTGTGGATTGGCTGGTTAAGAACGTGACCTACAGAGAGAACTGCTACGTGTGTTTCACAGATGAGCAGACCGTGCAGTTTATCTTCTCCTCTGGACAGCCTGCATCTCGTCCGCACTGCTCCTCATGGACTTTGCTCAGATCCCTCAGGGAGAAGATTAAAAACAGCACTGATTTGGACAACAGGTATAGCCTAAAACACTACAGTGAATCTGAGACTGTCGGTGAGGGATGTTTGTCTCAAATGTTCATTTGTATCCACAGTTTCATTCGAAATCTCACACTCTTCACCGAGGACCCAGACAAAGCCTATCCTAGCCAAGATACTGTGTGGAAGAGATTTGAGCAGGCTTTCTTAGTGGCCTATGGGCTGGTCACCTATGCACCTGTGTTCAAAGACTACCTCTATGAAGGTCTCAGACAGTTTTATGAGGACAACATCATGTATGTGGAAATCAGGGCGCTGCTGCCAGTGGTATGGATGAATTTACCTTTAAAAAATAAAGAAAATCAATTAAAAATTGTGTGTACTGTAAATAAATACTAATAATGTGCTCATTTTCAAGACATATGAACTTGATGGCAGACTAAATAATAAGGACTGGAGTATGAGGGCCTGCCAGGATGTTGTGAGAAGATTTACTGCAAACTACCCAGACTTCTTAGGGGCTCGGGTGATTTTTACCGTCCACAGGTGAGAGAAACATTGTGACGGTAAAGCTGAATTTTCAGCATCATTTCTCCAGTCTTCAGTGTCACATGATCCTTCAGAAATCATTCTAATATGCTGATTTGCTGCTCAAGATACATATCTTATAATTATCAATGTTGAAAACAGTTGTGCTGCTTCATATTTTTTGTGGAAACCGTGATCCATTTTTTCAGGGTTCTCTGATACATAGAAAGTTCAAAAGAACAGCATTTGTTTGAAATATTAGTTTGATTAAAGAAGATTTGAATGAACAGAAATCATTTCCTGTTCCTCTTAGGGGTATAAATGCAACTGAGGCGGTGAAGACAGTAGAGGAAGCAATGACACTACACAGAAACTTTCCAGATATCATGGCAGGCTTTGACTTTGTGAGTATATGATGAGCATATTGCTGAAATACACAATTCGTGAATAAACTTTGAAGAAAACATTTGCTTTTATAACTCCAGGTAGGACAAGAAGACCTTGGAAGACCTCTGTGGTACTTCAAGGACGCTTTGAGTCTACCTGAAGACAGGGGTGTTAACCTGCCCTACTTTTTCCACGCAGGAGAGACAGGTTTCTTTTGACATCTTGGTTCTTTCATCTGGTACAAAGCAGTGTAACTCAAAGTCGTCCTTTAGGCTCAAAAAGATTGAGTGCTTGTTCTTTTTACAGTTGCTATAGTAACATCTGGTAACTTTATTCACTTTTCCCACACAGATTCACAGGGAACAGATGTCGATCAGAACCTCATGGATGCTCTTCTATTCAACACCACACGTATAGGTCACGGCTTTGCTTTGGCACATCATCCTGTAGTTAAAGAGATGTCTAGAAAGATGGATGTACCACTTGAAATCTGTCCAATCTCAAATCAGGTATATCATCACTCATTATGCCTTTGAAGTAAAAAAAAAAACTAAAATATTGACTACCTTAATGCATGTTTCTGGTCTTACTGTGTACAGCTGGGGCACATTATTCTAAACGAAACATTTGAAGAAGTATTAACAAATAGCCAATAACTCACATTTAGTCTTACTTCATTCTTGTATGTAACTCCTGCTTTCTGTGATCAGATCCATTTCCAAAGGATAAAATTAAGCCCTGCTCTTTTTTCTTTTTTTTTTTGCTGAATATCACAAAGATTTCCTGTTGAAATATGTCATATTTAATTGGTTATAAACAGTACTTCATATTCATACTTACTTAATGTCCATGTCTTAAACAGTCACTGTTTGTTAAAACATGCTACAATCTCATCGTGTTAAATCAGCTAATCAATGAGAGTTACAATATGTAAAATAAATGTATGAGATGAAAATATTATATAAATATGTAAATATTGTACAAATTTGATTTTATGCAAGGTTATATTTTGAATTAAATTTACAGTTTGAAATTTACGTTCAAACATTGGTAATATTTTCAACAAGGCTGCATTTATTTTATCAAAAAAGAAAAAAACAGTAATATTGTGAGTTCAGTGTCACATGATCCTTCAGAAATCATTCTAATATACTGACTTCATGCTCAAGAAACATTTCTTATTATTATCAATTTGAAAATTATTTTTGTGGAAACTGATACATTTTTTGATGAATAGAAACAACAGCGTTTATTTGAACTAGAAATCTTTTGTAACTTTATGAATGTCTTTACTGTCACTTTTGATCAATTTAATGCATCCCTGCTCAATAAAAGTTGACATTTCTTTCAAAAACGGTAGTGTATCTTGCTGTTTTGGTACATTATACGTATTTTCAGCTTTCCACTATGCTTTTTTTCAGTCTATGCTATATTTACATTTACATAAGATAAACATAAAGTAGAATTAAAATAGAATAGAAAGTGTTAGAGTTAGAGGGTCAAATAAAGGTGGAACAGATGTGTTTTTAGTCGTTTCTTGAAGATGGCTAGTTATATATAGATGGTTATATTCAAAAAAAAAAATTTATTATAAAAAATGTGCATCTAACACTAGCATTCTCTGTTCTTTTTCAATTCTATCCGTTTTATTTTTTATTATAAAAAATGTGCATCTAACACTAGCATTCTCTATTCTTTTTCAATTCTATCCATTTTCTTTTTATTATAAAAAATGTGCATCTAACACTAGCATTCTCTATTCTTTTTCAATTCTATCCGTTTTCTTTTTATTATAAAAAAATGGGCATCTAACACTAGAATTCTCTATTTGACTCGTTTTATTTTTATTAAAAAAAAAAGTCCCTGTAACACTAGTGTTCCCTATTCTTTTTCTGCTCCATCTACTTGTTTTCTTTACGTTTATTATAAAAAAAAAAAAACCTGGCTATGCATACTGCATTAGGCTAACTGAGACTTAACACAGCACTTACATTATTGCTCTTTTGTTGGTTTTGATTGCTTCTATTGTCCTCATTTGTAAGTTCATCATCAGCTAAATGTAAATGTACGTTTCATTGTCTGAATAGCCACTTATTTGAAAATACTAATAATGCTTTAACTCTTTGTCAGGTGTTGAAACTGGTCTCAGACTTGCGGGACCACCCAGCGGCAGTGCTGATGGCTGAGGGTCATCCTGTAGTGATCAGCTCGGATGATCCAGCTCTATTTGGGGCCACTGCCCTTTCACACGATTTCTACGAAGCCTTCATGGGCTTTGGAGGAATGAGCTTTAATTTAGGCACATTGAAAGAGCTGGTCATAAACTCCCTCAGGTAACAGATAGCTACAACTGTCATATTTTAGGATTTATACAGACATTACTTAAACGTGTGAGTTTTTCAGTCATTAGTATAATCTACAACCAGGCTTTGCTGTTTATTTGTAACTTATTTGTCCTTTCGCTCTTTATTTCTAGGTACAGCTCATTGCCAAGTCAAACTAAGAAGAAGGCTATTGAGGTACTGCTGGTAAAATGGGACAAGTTTGTCTCGGAAAGTTTACTGTAGACTACTTCAACAGGTGGTCTCTAAATCAGGATGTTTTAAACATGCTCTAAGGGCATTTTTTACAGGATGTCTTCCTCTTATGTTTGTCATATTGGTGAACATACTGGGGTGTGAATTCTGCAATTTAGCTGTTACTTGATGTGAGAAACTGAATGTATTATCTCGAACTGGCCTGTGCTACCATCTGGTGCAGAATCTGTGTACTGATTATCTTGACTTCCATTGAAACAAAATGGAGGACTCCAGTCCAGTGCTTGAACCTTCAGGCTGACGACCGCGTTTTGTGTGCTATTTTGTGAATGCTAATCAAGATTTTAGATTTTTAGGGCAGCAAAGTCACACAACATATAGGTGTTTACAAGGTAGGCCACTTCAGGACACCTGCTAAACCAGAAAAACTGATGTACAATGTCAGTTAATTGTTTTATTTGAAAAAGTAGTTCTTAAAGGAATAGTTTACCTAAAAAAAAATTTGCTGAAATTTTACTCACGGCTCAGGCCATTCGGGATGTAGATGAGTTTGTTTCTTCATCTTCTTCACCAATGGATCCTCTCTGCAGTGAATGGGTGCCATCAGTATGAGAGTCGAGACAGCTGATGAAAACATCCCAATAATCCACAAGTAATCCACACGACTCCAGTGAAGCAAAGAGTTGCATGTTTGTAATAAACAAAAACAAAAATATACAGCGTTTTTAACTGCAAACTGTTGCTTCCAGTTCAAATAGTGTCTTTCATCTATAATATTGCTTAGTATTTTGATGTAAGATGACAAAAGGGGGATAAACTTTTCACTGGAGGAAGTGTTATTATGGATTCTATATTTTATACTTCACAAGACATTAACTGATGGACTGGACTTGTGGATTATCGTGATGTTTTTATCAGCTGTTTGGACTCATTCTGACAGCACCCATTCACTGCAGGGGATCCACTGATGCGCAAGTGATTTAATGCTAAACCAAGCCTGTTCCAATGAAGAAACAAACTCATTTTGATTTTTGATTTTTTTTTTTTCACATTTTCTTTTTTGGGTGTCCTATTCCTTTAAAGTTTTTAAAAGTACATTTTTACTTTAACAACCTTTGTAGGCTGACTTAGGTTACCTGATTTCAGTTGTTTGTGAATATGCAACTTATTTGGTTTACAACATGAATGTTTTAAAAAACAAGTGTTCCAACTCATATGTTTCCAACCATATGACATTCACCATCTTTACTGACCTATTAAAAATTGTGCAGCTTTCCAAAACACTTCTAGTGGAGTCCGCTGTCTATTTAAAGCCAAGGTTTACTGTAAAATGATACGGTGTATTGTCCTCGATTACTGAGCCCTGATGGTGTTCATCTTTCAGGTTCCCTCTGTAATATTTATCTACTGCTGGTATTAAACTGGGAAAAATAGCGCTCGTCTGGAATGTTTGTGTACACATCCTGAAGATGTTTCTTCCTGTAAATGGAAAGAGTGATTATTTCAGTTTTAGTAATTTTAATACCAAAATGCATTTCAGTTATCAAGGCAACATTTTTCATTTTCATGTATTTTTTTATCTAATATTTATGTTTAGTTTCAGTTTGCTTGTTTTTTTTTTTTTAAATAATGAAATAATTTAAGAGTTTTAGTTAACAATAACAACACTGCTGTATAGTCCACTGACTTACTTGAAATGCAATCTCAATATAAAAAAAAGTTATTTTGAATGGATTAGTAGGTGTGCTAATCATATATAGTCAGCCAAACCCTATTTAACTCACTGAGCATCATGGGTCTGAGCCAGCCGTGCGTTGGTGTTGTCCATTGCCCTGCGCAGCTCTTTATTAATGCGTGCGTGCTGTCTTTCTAGCAGCAGTGCAGCACGGGTGGATGTCATGCGCTCGTGATGCTCCTGAAGCTCCTTCTCTCGTTGCTCCATGACAGCACGCTGCACACAATTGTTTGGTTCTTATCACTTAAGTGTATTTTAATGTTTGAAACATTTCAGAAGTGCCATGTAATGTTACTTACTAATAATTAAAAGTTGAAAAAAACAAAGTACCAAGTGCTGGGCTTTACCTTCCTATCTTCTGCTTGCTGCAGCTGGTATTGCGTGTACTGCTGGAGCTCTTTAGCACTCATTCCCTTGTAATAGTCCTTGCGCAGGCGAGACAGACCCAGCACACTAATATTCTGCTCAGGGTTTTCCATCAGCAGGTCTCCGTTTAGCTGGTTCAGGATGTCCGTCTGGTTGTTTTCCTCCTCTTCATGATGCTCCTGTAGATGTCGATTTGTGATTTCTGCAGCCTGAGGTCAAGAAGCAGCAAGGAACAACAGGAAAATGATGGCTACTTGAGAGTACTGATAGTTCTTCTTGAATTTTAAAGCCTAACTTGTTGACTTTAGTGGTCAGTGACTCACCAGTGCAAGGTTAAAGTCTTTGGTGGCGATGGCTGCAGCTTTCTTGCTTTGGTCCTCCATCTTCTGCAATTCAAGAGCTCGGTTGTCTAGAGCCAGTCTGCTTTGATCATACTGGTGCACTATATAGTTTGTAAAAGGAGAAAACCTTCATAGTAGGGCTGGGAAATTCAGTGCATTCATTCACTATACCTTCTCAGAAAGAACAGCTAAACATTTAAGACGGACCAAGTGTCACTGAAAAATTTTGGGGGCGGATATAGAAAGGCTTCCCATTCATCCAGTGAACTTACTTTCTTGGTGTAACTGTTGTTTTGCTCGCTCCAGCTCGTCTTGCTGTTGTAAGGTCCATGCTCTGAGCTGCTCCTGCTGCTTCCTCAACCGGTCCTTCTGGGCCAGATCTTCTCCAGGCAGCCCCGGCAGTATCCGCACCCCTTCCTGCTTCTTCAGCAGCTCTGGATCGTTCAGATCAAACTCACGCCGGCTGGCAGGTTGTTGAAACTGTTGTCTGAACTGCACAATGGCTTCATTCAACAGACGCTCATCTTTCTTTTGCCGCTGCTCCAGGACACACGCTACACGATCACTGCACAGCAGCTCATCAGCTAAAAGGAGAAAGGAAAAGGGTTTGAGTTAAGTTCAATGTAAATGTGAATTGTGTTAAGTTAACCACAATTATTTGGATGAAAAAGTAAAGTAAAAGTAATGAAAATACTAAAATTCTTGAAAAGCAATTACATCAATTTAGAAAACGTGTGTACATAAAATATTTCTTTAAAAAAATCTAAATCAAAGTTTTCTAAATTACTTAATTGCTTATTATTTTATTATACACACACACACACACACATATATATATATATATATATATATATATACTATTACTTGTTTTGCTTCGGTTTCAGTTTTTATAACCATTTCTTACTATGTGTAAGTAAGTTGTTGTTTTTTAACGTGTGTTTGGCAGTGTTATTTTTTAGGATTACTGATAAACTACTGTCGTTTGATTTGTATTATT